AGCTTTATGACAATTAATGAAATAGAAATCTACTTTTGACTACCAATGGTTTGGAAAAAAAACTTTATTTAAAATGCCTCATTATTACTATGTTTACTTCAAGCTTTTGATCTTCGTCTCTTTTTTTTCTTTTCTTTTAGGCACATGAATACGATTGAGCTCCAGCTGGAGGTAACCCGTTTTCTCCATCGCTGTGAGAATGCGGCATCCTCCAAGGCCCCGCAGACCAATCCCTCTTCACCCAGTTCATTGCCTACGCTTTTTGGAGGAAGCCCTATGAAAGTAGAAGTTGCCTGCAAGGTTAGGCTGCGGTTTTTTTGTTGTTTTTTTTGGAATTTTATAAAGTGATAATCTTCTGATATCGATAATCTAAAAAACACGATTTAGCATATTTAAGTTACTCATTAAGCACTATATATTTAATTTAAAAAAATGTGTACAACAGTTGCCACAGGGCGCTTAATGTGTGTGTATGAATATGTATGTAGCTAAAAATAATGCAAAATATTTTGTTAGAACTGGTTTTGTATGTTATGTATTTGTACATTGTTGTTACATAAAATCAGGACAGTGTTTTATGTGTTTTTGCAGGTGATGCTTGGAGGAAAAAACATAGAAGAAGGGTTCGGCATTGCTTACAGAGTCATACAGGTTTGTTCATGTCTGAGATCAGAACTGCTTTTGGCCAAAATTCAAGACTGCAAACACAGCAGTTTTTTTGTGTGCAGAAGTCTTTGAAATATTTTGCCAACATAAGTATTGGAAGTAAGCACCAGTCGAGCTGAGATAGCACAATAATTAATTTAATTATCTTGGTGTAGACAGCCAGCAGGAGCAAAAACTGAGCAAAATGAAGAATTAAGTTACTGATGTGATCTTTTTCTCAGTTAAAAGATAAAAATATAGATGTTGTCTCCCTCTCCTTCAGGACTTCCAGTTGGAGGCTCAGGCTGTCTATGTGCGAGCTGGACAGTGGCTCATCCGACGCAAGCAGTACGCGTCCGTGCGGCAGCTGCTCAAATGTGTGGGTGAATCAGGCACTGCCACTAAAAACGACTGTGACGCCCTCATCCTCAACTACATCTCCTGTGCAGAAAAAGGACCAGCTGATGTGAGTGACAGAATTGCTATGGGGATGCATGTGATAGGGATATTCATTATACTAACTATACTTCAGGCACAGTGTTGTACGCTCATCCTAAGGACTATTCTTTTTGATATGGTTTAGGCCAAGGAGCTGGAAAGTCTCATTCTGGAGATAAAAAGCACAGAAAGCAAGGTAGAGTAATAATTGCCTTGTTTTACCCTTCTTTGCCTTCCACTGGGATTACTTTTCTTGCCAGAGGCTGCTTTAAAAAAACAAAAAAAAAACAAAAACTACCCTCACTGTATTCCTCTGTATTTCCTTACAATCAATATTGCTTTATTTTTTCCTCTGAAGCCTGTCGTTATGTGGCTTTTTTACCTTTATTAGCATCTTTGGACCTAAGTGAGTATAATTTTTGGGGAAGCTCCCTTTTAATTTCATCGCTGGTCTTTCTGCAGATCAAAGCCTTCCTGATGTGCAGTAAGCTAAGGCCGGCGTACCTGCTGGCAGTGAAGCTGGAGACAAGCCGGGCAGGCCCGTTGGTCCAGGATGTCCTTCAGGCCGCTGAAGAAGCACAGGACTCAGTAATGCAGAATATCTGCCGCCAGTGGCTGGCTGAACACAACAAGTCATCTCAACCGCGTCAGGGGCGCACCAGGTAAAGGCACAGTGGACATAACAAGGGATTGTACAGAGAGCGCACAGATAAGCCCCCATTAAGGACAAATGAGAGCATTCAACTTTTTTTGGGAAGGTGAAAGATTAACTTATGTAACTGATATACAGAGCTTATCACATTTGCCATTTTACTAAAGCATCCTCTTATTAGATTTTTGGCTCCAGATTTGCCCTGCTAACACTTCAGCATACACTTTTAGATGATGCATTGCATTTTGTGTAAATGTACCAGTACTTCACACTAAAACTACATATTTAGTTGGACATTATTTATATTATCAATTAATTAATATTGTACTAGACCCTTACTATCACTCTAATGTGTGTTGCTATTGAGTTGGCATGGCACAGTGGAGTCTCAATGTGGAGGAAATGCAAGTTAAACCTGGAACAGATCTGAAAAATGTGTAAGAACTGGGTTCTTTTAAAACCCTGATATCAGCTTCACTCTTTGGTTGAGTGATCTTTATGCCACTGCAAAACAAACGGATCACCACTGTGCTTTATTTCCATTCTGGAAATATTTTTGCTGGCTTTTTTTGTTCATCTGCACAGTATTTGTGAGGGAAAAAGTTACTGCATTTGAGCGCAACCGGTATTACACAACAGAACTGCTAACTGTTGCTAATAGGTACAGTTACACCCTTGAAATATATAAACGTATTCATAGTAAATCTGTATATGTTTAATATTTGTTTCCTACCTCAGCCTAAAGGGAAAATATATTGACTAGAAGGCCACTGACAAATTTATTACCTGTAGGTATCTGTGTGTAGGTGAGCTTTTTACTTATAATGAGATGTCGTCTGCCAAGAAGTTACATGTTTCAAAACTGTCTTGTTTTTGTAACCATAATGAAAATGTTTACGTGTTGTACATGTGAAGCACATTTTGTGGCCAGCTTTTAGTGTAAGTTTCTTTTTGATTAAAAAAAAAAAATAATAATAATAATAACATTACTTTGAAATATTGGAGGGCATTTTGTTTGCTTTGTTTCCAAGAATTCAGGCCTCTTGTTTGTTAATGTGTGTTTTGGTAATAATTATCCCGAGGGCGGCAGATTGTAAAATATGCTTTTTGCTTCGTTCTCACGGTAGACGTGAACGACAGATGTCTCAACAATTTAAATTCCTAAAGACTGACATATACAGATGAGTTGAACAATGTTTGAAAAAGGGATTGTACTGTTGCCAGATTTCTTTTGATATGCATTTTTCCCTTTTGATTTCACAAATCTGCAACCTGGAGAAAGAAAAAGAGCAACTGTGATGTTCTTATAGCACCACAAACGCAATTTGTTGGATAATGTGACAATCACCCAAATTGCTCAAGCTGCCTTTCATGTGTTCTTTGAAACTGTTCTGATTACATGGTGATGTGGTGAAGTGTATCTTCATTTAGATCTGACACTGTGGTGTCTGTTTGCCTTGCTTCGCTCTGCTGCACTAGTCAGAAGACTAAAACCAGTTTCCTGTTATTGTGAGTGTGTCAAGCCAATTTAGACTTGAGAGCCACTCTCATTCTCCCTAATTCTGACTGTTGTCTCATCACTGCCGCACTTTATAAATAATAATATCAAATATTTTGAAAAATTTGAAGGTATGTAATATGGTAACTGCTTTAATGATGCAGGGACTAATGGTTCAAAAATGTAAGTTGTTTTGCCATCCCTTATTAAATAAAATAAAATATGTAACACTGTACTGCTGTGCCTTTTTCTATTTTCATCATTTTAGAGTTTGATTGTTCAGTGAATAACTCAATCTATTATTAAAGAAGAAGATTGTGAGATAAATAAATAATGAAAGCCACTGTTAGTTTTAGCCTTCCTGGAATTATGCACTGTTTCCTGAGGCAAACATCAAAATTTGTTAAAAATCATGTAAAAACAAACATTTAACAAATATATTTAATAGATGATTTAGAACAACATTCAGTAATTTAAATGTAAAAGTTTTCCATTATTAGGATATGTAAATATAGAAAAAAACAAAGCAACTCTGTCTCAAAATACAAAAAACTAGCGCCTTGTGTAAGAAAATGGAGGAGATCATATGCTGTAGCTTTTTTAGTGTCCCATAGTTTGGTGCTTCCTTTGTATTTGTTTATTGACAGGGTTTGGCTGCAGGCATGCCAGTTTGCCACCCACGCTGACCCTCTCACTCCAGAGCGTTATACTTGTAATTTGGCATTATCTTGCAATACTTTGCGTTAAAACAACATCCAGCAACTGTTGCTCCAACTGTGGAGTGTGTGCATATAGCAACATTAACAGTGCCTCCACAGATGTGCAACCTACCCATGTTTGTACAACATACTTCTTAAATAAAATTGTGAGATAAGTCACAATTCGTTTAAATTCTAGTGATATTATGCCTAATATATGATAAAATTGCTGTTTATTTATTCATAGTTTAATACTGAGAAACTTTATTCTAAATTTGTTAAACTGTGGTAAAAGTCTGAAGCTCTTAGATCCTCTAAACACAGTCGTGTTATGACATGAGGCAACAAATCACTTATGGGATGGTTTTTAAATGGTGTTTTTGTTTGAGCGTTACACAACTTTTCCACTTTCTTTAATTTTTTAATTTTATTTATGTTATTCTGACATCAAATTAAAAACGAGCATGCCTATTTTAAAAACAGAACGAGCATTTCTGTTTCAAAACTGGATGTGTTGCGTTTGCCGTTATTTTAAAATAGCTTTAAGATTTTGATGATTTGAATGTACTGACATGGGGAATGGAGTTTAGCAAAATTTCTGACCTTTGAGGCCCCCGGATAGTTACCTTGTTAACAAAAATGTGGCAGCTTTTTTTTTTAAGTCCTGTAATATTTTCCCTTTTAGTTTATTTATTAACAGTAACAGTGTGATGAAACCTGACTCGCATGTGTTGTGTAAATCATCTTTGTCCACCTAATCTTAGGTACTCGTGCATTTCATTCTCTCAATTTTGGATCTAAAAGAGTTCAAGGAAGTGGCAAAGTTGAAGATTTTCATTGCGAGTGACCAGGAGACGCAGGATTAAAAATGAAAGACAAAGTTGGAGAGGCAAGGCTGCGGAGATTGGACAACAAATGTTGAACTCAGGCCTCCCAGTTTGGAAGAAAACCACAGAGATGGTTTCTGGATGGAAGGAAGAGAAGCTTGGTGCGACAGATGAGTGCTAGGGATAGGGTGAGATGGAGGCAGGTGACCCCTAAAGGGAGCAGCCTAAAGAAGATGACAAACTTTTTAGTAATATTTCAGTTTTATTTACATAAAATGTAAACATTCAACTGGTAACATGAATGTAAATGTAGTAAAAGGCATGTTTTGACTTGTATAAAACACAGAATGTAAACTCCTGGCAAACCTGCATGTGAATGCTGCAAAGGAAACATGATTAAAGAGATCCTTATAAATTTCAAACTAGTTCTTACAGGAATGTGCAGATCGCACTGAGTAGGGGGGTAAAAAAACAAACAAAACAAAAACAATCTTTGGAAATATGAATGTAATCTCAACTATTCGTTGTCTATAATAGAAAAAAAATCGTATCTTGTACATCGACTATTAGAGTTATGACAAAATACATTTATGCTATTTAAGCAGTGATTTTGGCTCAGACTGTCGCACATGTTTAATACTTTAATAAATTTGAATCAACCTGGAAACGCTGTAAGAACCCCTGCAGTTGTTAAGAAATGCTGGCACTAAAGTCAAGCAATTTAACTGCGAATTCAGCAAAAATCATTTGGAAAAAACATAATACTTGATAAAGATGCTGGTCTTTTACCCTGTGTTGACTCCTTACTGTATCCTACAGCATTACAACACATCAAGTTGCTTTTTTGCCTACACTATTCACATTGTCTCACAAAAAATATAAAGTCGAAAAGGTATTTGTGTTTACATGATAATATGGTTGAGTGGTTTTGGTTTGAGAAGCTGTTGCAGAGCACCAAAATACTCAAGTTATTATAATGTAATTAATATATTATTACACAAAAAAGCAACTTCACATTGTAGTACCTCTTACTTAAATTACCTGACTGCTTATTAGGTAGGAAAGTACAGAACATCAAAACAATAATGGAATTAATTAAATCAATGAAAATTTTTAATGTTAAGGACTCCTTCGAGAGCTGAGATAGATGGCGGTCGAAAGCCTAATTAGTCCCACTCGATTCCAAGAAGCTCGCAGCTGACATCCCACAGTCTCCTCGCGGTCTCCGCACTTCTTCCCTGTGGGGCCACAAAGGCAGGGGTGCAGTCACTGAAATGAAAGGAGGAGGAGTGGTTATTACATAAGAACGTACTGTATGATGCTGTGAGTCATCACCCTAGATACAAGGATCTCTTTTAGCTTGTGTAATCGTATAAGCATTATCTTTTTTTTTCCCCAAGAAGCTTTTTTTTTTTAAGTCATAAGAAGTATCAGTTACTAAGATCCAAACATTGGATCCAGTGCTCGGTCTGCCTACAAAGACACCGAACATCTTTATGTGCAAAGTTGTAAAAATAAAAGCAAAGAAGCACAACCAACGCAATGGTGCCTTACAGCAAGAAGGTAGTGGGTTCAAATCCACCAGACTGGGGCCTTCAGGGTTCAGTTAGGCTAATTGGTGACACTAAATTGCCTGTAGGTATGAATGTGAGTGGTTGTCTGGCTTCCTGTGTTAGCCCTGCAACAGCCTGGCAGGGGTATACCCCGACTCTTGCCTTATGACAGCCGGAATAGGCCCCCAACCCTGAAACGGGTAAGTGCAAGAGAAAGGAGGAATGGAAAGATGGAAATAAAAAAACACACAACTACACCCACTAGAGCTGAAACTGTGCTTCTCCTACTTTTTCTGGATTTGATTCGACAGGTTACTTTCTCCATGTGCTGAAATTCTGTGTGACTTCTGAATTATTATTTTTTTCTTCAGGTAGTGGACATTAGTGGTTAAGATTGCAAAGTCTCTACTACAAAACAAATATTAAATCCAATCGGTACATGTGTCCTTATTTTTGATCAAAATTCAAAAAGTTTAAAAAAAAAAAGTCAAGCTGCAAAGGGAAAAAAGAAAACCTTTAGGTTCACTAGAGTTTTGGCATTAGTTTACATTAAAAAAATTCAGCTGCTCATCAATGTTACAATTATAGCCGAAAACAAACTGACAAAACTAATAGCAGACAAGCATTTGTACTTCTCACGTGTTCAGTGAACTTGCAAAGCAGGCTGGCAAAACTAACAGACGAATCAAGTAATTCTGGAATGTTCTTCCATCAGATGTTTTGTGTGGCTGCTAAAAGTGAAACTGTGAATATTACATTGGCAAAATTGTTTCAGTTCACGGTTTTTCTTCTTCATTTCATTCCACAGCACCCTTGTTGGTTTAAGGTACATGGTTTGACTTGACCATTTCTTCCCTTTTTAGCGTCCATGTATTGTTCTTTTATCTGCATGCTTGTTTTGTGTATCAGACAACGTCTTCTAAACTTCCCATCATAGACTACCCTGTAAAATTTGTTACAGTTTTGTAAAAATTGTTGCAAGACGTACTGTCACGGCTGCCGAGGCGAGCCGTGTGGAATAAATGAGGATCCAATCGCAGGCAGTCGTGGAGAAGTGAAGGTGATTTATTGAACACAAAAAGAATGTGGACAAACAGCAAACGGGGCTCGAACTAAACTAAACTGGGAAACAACTAAACTACAGAGCACAAACCTGAATGAAAATGAGCAGAGGAGGATGACGATGAACAGCAGGGAGAAGACACGGTGGATACACAGACTGACACTGAGTAATACAGACGAACCGGCAACAGGCAGGAGAACACACAGGGCTTAAATACACACACCAGTAATCAGGGGATGAAAGACAGGAGGGCAACACAGCTGGGAGGAATCTGGGCTGACGGGACAGGGGAAACGTAAATTGATCACACTCACATACGACACAGACCTTCACAATAAAACAGGAAACTCAGACACATGGAACCAGACAAGACATTGAACTAAACAGACGGACTTATGCAAACTTGAGTATCAGCTAATTTGTTAGGTACAGCTGTCCAATCACTTAACAGCAACTCAATGCATTTAAGGATGCAGACATGCAATAAAATTTAAACTGAACATCAGAATGAGGAAGAAAGGTATTTCAGAAACCACTGGTGTCTACTGGGATTTTCTATCTCTGTAATTTAAAGAAAATGGTCCAAAAACTAAAGAATATCCAGTGAGAAGCAGTTCACCGAGTGAAAGTGTTACAAACTAAGCTCAGAGGAGAACTGCCAAATTGCTCTGAGCTGATAGGAAGACAACAGTAACTCAAATCACACTTATTACACCCAAGGTATGCAGAAGAGCACCTCTGAGCACAGAACATGCTGAACCTACAGCAGCAGAATACCATACCTGATACCACGGCTATCGGCTAAGAACAGGAAACTGAGACTACAGTTTACACAGGCTGACCAAAATTGGACAATAGAAGATTGTTCCAATCTAATCTTGATTTCTGACGTGAGATTCAAAAGGTAGAGACAATATCTGGTATAAACAACATAAGACTATGGTTCCATTCTGCCTTATACCAACCAATAATGTGGCGTGGGGAATGTTTTCTTGGCAGATTTTGGACTTCTTAGTACCAGCTGAGAGTTTAAATATCAAAGCCTACCTGAGTACTGCGGACCATGTCCATCCCTTTATGACTGACGGTATGTTCACTGCACTCTCACGTGAATATGGACCAAATGTTTCCAGCACCTTATTGAATCTATGCCATGAAAAATAAAGGCAGCTATGAAGGCAAAAGGGGCTCCAACCTGGTATTACACACTGTCATCTTGATGTATGCAGACCACCACACTAAGGATAAGTAGCAAAGGTTCTAAATATCCTCCACTTGTACACAGTGTTGGGTTTAAGTCAACCCTGCTGGTAAACAGAACCTGTTACTGAAAGCACACAGACACCAGTGTACATTTTACTTGCAAGGGGAGCGTTGGAGAGCAGTGCTGCGACTCGCCTGTCCAAGCAACTCCAACTGATTCCTTCGCTACAGCCCTTTTTATTGTCAGCAAGCAATCATTCATGGATATGCAATTACAAATACACGTGGCGTTCTTAAGCAGGCATATCTGAACAACATCAGTGTCTGTATTCTGTGTGTGTGGGTGTGTGTAGGTGCATGCGTGTGTGTTTCCAGCCATACTATACATAGACATACGGCCTTTCAATGAACTTAAACTGAGTGCAGAAAAGCAGATGTAAGCGTCTTGCTAAACTATAAAAACAGGGACTTGCAATAGGCCATATCTCAAATGCACATTTAAAGGTGTGGCTCTTGCACTTTTAAGAAAACAAAAGGACAGTCTGGTTTTTATGATGTCGAGACTGCTTCCTATCATCTCATGGTACACAAGTGCACACAGAATCTTATCAGACCCAATAAGGATATGATTTTTATCAGCATACAAATGATTATATGTTTCTAAGCACAAATGACAATATAAAAAAACATCTCACTCTTACACACAGTGTGTGTCATTATGGTGTGGACAAACTAGTTACCCAGAAATGCTACTGTAGCCTTTTCCAGCTTCCTGCCTACGTTTTAGGATTTTCTAAGGTCCTTTGACAAAAGTTGTGATATAATATTCATCTAAAAGGTCCCAGCAGTGAAAAATAAATTTCCTTTAAGTGTAAAACCAGGCTGATAAATTAATAACAATGACAAAGTCTTTAATGGCAAAACCATGTTGGAGTCACTCGTGTAGATTAAGGTGTCAAATGCTCTGTGGTCAGGATGGAAAGTTTGGTAGCACGAACAAATTATAGGTTGGTGCTTCTACAGATTTTTCACTTCCTTTGTCTTTCTTTGGTCCTACCTGAAGTGTTTCCCAGAGATAGAGTGCAGTTCCTCTGCAATGGCACAGTAGATGCTAGTCTGTGCTCCTTCCCGTGGAGTTTTCAGGAACACGGAGAAGACGGTGAACAATATCGTCATCAGAGTTGAATGTCTGGTCAGGTCAGAGTTTACCGTCCCCGGATGAACAGAGTTCACTGTGACATTAGTTCCTGTGAAAGAAATGCACCAACTTTTTGTCACAATTTTATCAGCTTAAATTTTAGGTAAAAACATTTCTTCTGTAAATTTTCATGTTGGCTTTGGCGACATGCTTCCATTTCAAAAGCGTGTTTATGAAAGACTGTGTTGTCACATTTAAGAAGCCTCAGAACACCTCGTGATCACCCTTGGCACAAATGCTCGTCATTCCTTTCTCGGATATGAATGTCACATAGTTTCTCCCACACTTTGTGTTGCTGGTTACAGTGTTTTGTATTTGTGTACCTTTGAGTCTGGAAGCCAGCTCTCTGGTGAACAGTACGTTTGCCAGTTTGCTCTGGCAGTATGCTAATCCGCTGTTGTAGCTGCCCTGGCTGTGAAGGTCATGGAAGCGGATCCAGCCAAAGTTGTGTGCCAGAGAGGAGACCACCACAATCCGAGCCGGAGCGCTGCGCTTTAAAAGCCCGATTAGAAGGGATGTCAACAGGAAGTGGCCTGCAACATGTAAGAATCATCCTTTCAGTGTATTTTATTTTGGAAATAACCGTCCCCACATTGGAGACGAATTGATTTAATTGCAACGATTCACTGATTCCAACAGGTTCCATAAAAGCCCTACCCAAATGATTGACTCCAATATGCATCTCAAAGCCATCGACAGTTTTCGTGTAGGGGCACATCATCACCCCAGCGTTGTTTATAAGGATATGTAGCTGGTTGACTTCTGAACAAGAAGAGAGCATCACACAAAAAAAACCTATTTAATAACCACACACTTGGGCTCTGTAGATGTGAGTATTAAAACGCTAACCTGTGCTCACCTCTTAGGAATTTCTGTGCGAAGGCTCGTATAGAGCACGTATCTGCCAAATCGAGCTCCCGGACCTCCACTCGTGCTTCGGGGTAACTGGCTCGTATACTGGCCGCAGCCTCCTCACCCTTTTCCACATCTCGACACGCCATGATCACCCGAGCTCCTACCAGGTGACAAAGAAGCAGCAACTAAACTATTAACAAAGAGATGAAGCCAAATAGAGGTTTGGTGTGTGGTTTGGTCAGGCAGCACGGTGGCACGGTGGTTAGCACTGTTGCCGCACAGCAAGAAGGTCCTGAGTTCAATTCCAACATCAGGCATGTTCTCCCCGTGTTTGCGTGGGTTCCCTCCGGGTACTCCGGCTTCCTCCCACCGTCCAAAGACATGCAGCTTGTGGGGATAGGTTAATTGGATAATCCAAATTGTCACTAGGTGTGAATGTGCGAATGAATGTGAGTGCGAATGGTTGTCTGTCCCTGTGTGTTGGCCCTGCGACAGACTGGTGACCTGTACAGGGTGTACCCCGCCTCTCGCCCTATGACAGCTGGGATAGGCTCCAGCGCCCCCCGCGACCCTGAAAAAGGATAAGCGAATGGATGGATGGATGGATGGATGGATGTGTGGTTTGGAAGAATCAGATTTAATCCTTAGGGAAATTATGTAGCTGACCTGTTAGTCAGTGATGTAGAAAAGCATTTTCACTGATGACTCAGAGAACTTTTTAGAGAATGCAATTTATTTTTAAAGGCCAAGTAATTACTAAGTCCCACACGCAGGAAATATTTGAGACTGTTGAAAGATTTAATCTGTTACTATGTCATCCACTAAAAAGCATTAAAGAGTGACTTAATGCTGTAAGGTATAAAGTGCCATAGAAAAAGCATTTTCCCCATCCTGATTCCTCAGATTTTTTCTGCACATTTGTCATGCTTAAATATAATCAAAACAGCTTTTAAATGATTATTTAATTTATTAATGGGGGGGGGGAAGCAATCTAAACTGACCTGGCTGGAAGTGAAAAAAATAATTGTTCAATTCAGAACTAAAGAAGCCTCTTCACAAACTTTAAAGAAGTCCAGTTGCCTTCTATCTCAAATTCTTAAGATTTTAATGGCATGTGAGTCATCATCAGCGACAAACCCAGTCGCTAATCCTGTGCTTTCAGAATATTTAAGTGTTTTTTACATATTTCTTTAACATTTTGTTAACGCCCCTGAGTATTTGGACTGAGGTGAGAAAAAATGAATCATTCTAACTGACATGCATCAATCGCTTTCACTCGCACCTAATACATGAAGTTAGGGTTCAAGCTACGCTTGGAGGTCATGACCTCATAGGATTGAATTGTTTGTTTGTTTGTTTTTCTTAATTAAACCAAAATAAAACTTTATACCTGTTCCAAACCCAGACTGATGGTATATTGACCATATTATAATCAAACAACAAGTCAAGTATTTATGTGACTACATTTAAAGCGAGGTTTTCCTTGAGACCACAACAGCTAATTGTGTCACACCATGCTCCATTTTATTATGAATATTTTAAATGGGGCAAGGACGCTGATTTCAGTCTTACTGCTTTAAGAGACTGCTGATTTCTCTCAGCAGCAGGTTATGGGTTTAAAGAGGCACCTCGAATTGCCAGATCCAGGGCAGTCTCCTTCCCAATTCCTGTGTTGGCTCCAGTGATGAGGACCGTCTTCCCATCAAGACGAGTTGTGGACTTGCACACTCTTCCTGCTGCATATTTTCTGCACACACACACACACACACACAAACAAGGCTGATTTATACCACACAAATTCTGCATCATCAAATGCAGCAGACAGCTCCATTTAAATGACTAGCAGCTCCTTCTGCAGTCTCTAAATGCTATGCCCCCGTTAAAGCTGGCATTGTGGTGAAACCGGGTTAATTATTCACACAAAAACTTGCATAGTGAAGTGTGCAAGTGGTGCGAAACACACGCCAGTGAGCAGGGCCGCCACATAACCAATAGCTCTCTCGGAGTGTTGTATGCATATATAACTCCTCCCACGCTCCGGCTGCTGATAGGCCCGAGCAGCTCAGACAGAAGACACCCGGTTCATCTGTGCAAGAAAAAAAAAACACCCTCCCACAGCTCAATTTTTCTATTTCATTGATCAGCAGCCTCGTGTGAAAGCACCGTTAACGTAAAGCATTCACAATTAACGATCATGTGGCTTCATTAATCAAACTGATCATCATCGTAATAACTACACCACACCACCTAAATGTCTTGTTAACCAAGTAATAACCTGCCCTGACATCCAGTGTTAAACTCTGCGTTTAAATTCTAATGACTGAGCGCGTGAAGTGGGCGCTTACCTTATTTGTGGCGCAAATAAAATCACCAGCAGCGTCACCACTCCGAGGCCCGCGATAATTAATAAAAGGAACATCATGCTATGGATCTGCGCTCCTCTGCCTCTTCCAGCAGGATGCTACCGAAGTGTAGGCGGAACAGCTGATGTCAAAGCAGGAATGGGGGTGCGAGCTGCAAACGGATGGGGTGAAGGTTGAACCACGCGCAGGATCATGGGATTGTAGTTCGATGCGTGACAAGATGGCTACTGCTTAACAGGGTCCACTGAGTTTGCAGCTAGGGGCAGTGATTTTAAAGTGAAATGTCATAAAAGTAAATTAAGCTAATTTAGTTAATAAATTATTAACAACAAAAAGACAAAGACGGAGTCACTTGTTTCAAATGTTTCTAATTTTTTTGTTAAATGTAATTCATCTGCCCCCTCTTAAGCACGCACAGAAAGTCAATTTAATGATTTTTTTAGCCATTTGATAGCAGTAAAAATCCCCTAAATGTCATTTTAAGCCAGAAACTTAATTCATTTTGCTAAAATAAAGAAAAATCGAGGCTGCTGTGGGTCAAATTAATAATAATGGATTGGGTTTATATAGCGCTTTTCAAGGCATCCAAAGCGCTTTACAATAGCATTCACTCTCACATTAACACACTGGTGGAGGCCACAGATACTGGGGCAGACTGACAGAAGCGAGGCTGCCATATCGCGCCATCGGCCCAACACCAGTAGGCGGTAGGGTAAAGTACCTTACCCAAGGACACAACGACCAGGACAGAAAGCCCGGGGAGCGACCTTCCGGTTACAGATGCGGTTGCCAATCCCCTGAGCCACGGTAGCCCGATTAGACCCTCATCTATTCAAATTGGTTTTAGATGCACCACTCTGGTCAAATCAAGGAAAATTGTGGTTTTATGTAACTGTAGATGCCATCTTTGTGTATTTTTTTTGTGGGAAAGTGGTGATGGACTTCAAATGGGACAGTTCTCGCACATTGTTGCAAGAACTGTCTATATTTTCTGCAGAGACAGCGATCTGCTGGTCTTTTAAACAATTAAATAGTAAAAGTGAAAGTGATCAAAGCGAATGCACCAAGGTAATATAAGATAAGTTAGGATAAGAGATAAAATAACTCTTCATTGTCATTGCACAGTCCTAGTGCAATAGTACAAGGAATTTGGAAACTGTCCCCCCTCGATACTAAACACAACAAAACACAGGTCAAGGTCAAGTTTATTTATATAATGAACCTCTGAAGTGCCTTTTTGTGTGCCATGGTGCAGTTGGAGAACCATACAGAGATACAGTATGTCAGCACACTTTCAATGTAGCAACAGTAGAAGACAATCAGCAGTTCCCCCTTCAGGTCCAATTTTCTGAGGATTCTTAGAAAATGGACACACGGTTGGGCTTTCTTTTCAACCGCCGAGGTTTTTGAGCTTCATTGGGAGTCTGTGTCTATGTGCACACCTAGGAACTTGAAACTGTGTGTTCTAGAGGTATCCTGGCCTCCTCCTAAAGAATTTGGTTTCAGGTTAACAAGTGATTCTAAACTGGTTATGTGAGATACCACTTGAAGTGTGTAGTGTTATTCTTACCTAACTGAGATTAAAACGCAAATCAACACAAGGGTTGGTGGGGTCATAAGACTGTAAAGGCACCTAGGCTGCCATTTCAGCAAATGTGGGGAACACCTGTTCTGTGGTCATTCTTTTTTCCTCCTGCCTCGCAGACCTCGCAGGACTGTCTCCAAACCATTCCCCTCTACCATCTTGTAAACCTTTATGAGGATGTTTTTATGACATAGTAGTGAGGGCAGTGTTAAACAGTTGTATTTGTTATACACGAATATATATATAATAAATCCCGAGGTTCATAATGTGCCATTTTAACTTTCAATAAGATACATTTTAATTATTTTGACAGTGATGTTTTGATGGCTTAGGTAAGAACAAAACAAAACAATAAACCCGAAATAATACTCCCCCTGCTCTCTGAAACATTAATCAATGATTAATCGCCCATTTATTTAGCTAGACAGGCTATTTATACATTCAAAATAGATCTGTACTTTAAAATTTGTTATAGACGCTTACTATGAGGAAATTTCTCCATCTTCAACAAGGGGAACTCTGAATCCATGTAGTTTCATTAACAGAATAAACACAAACATTTCCCAAGTAGCTCGGTTTAAAAACTACATTTCCCAGAAAGCCCTATTAACGTCGTCTCTGTAGCGCCGGAATGAAATAATCATTAAATAATTATCCAGGTTATTGTAAAACACGCTTTTCACAACATTTCACTATTTTGTTTTAAATTCCTACATAATTGTGTTTTTTAAAATATTTTTTCAATTTCATATCTAGTAAAAAAAAATTACATTTTAGTACGTTTGCGTTTTGTTCCGGAGTTACGACGGTCAGTCGAAAGCCATCCGGAAGGATCCCGAGAATCTGATTATCGTCATAGCAAAACTAGATACCTAAACTTGTGATCATAAAAAGTGTTGTATTTTACAATAAAAGACAAAAATAATTTCACAAGAAAGGACATTTAAACGACACGCAAAATGTCGTCGGAGGAATTCGAGAAGTTGCACGAAATGTACCGATCGTTGTACGAGGAGCTGAAGCTGATGCCAGATAAGGCTCAGAAATCTCACGGAGGTAATTGCTTGCTCATAAAGCCCAGATCAAAATAACTACGCCTTAGAATATAAGTTATGTGCTTTTTAAGTAACACTTGTACTGTCACTCCTGCAGAGGAGAGGAAGAGGCTGGTGAGGACCTTCGATGAGAGACATGGGGAGGCTGATGAAGTGGTGAGCTGTTTATCTTTTTCCCCATTACAGCTAGCTAAAGTTCACTTGACTACTAGCTATGACATTTTCATGTGAATACACTTAAATTGAGCTTGAAATGAACTTTTTAAGAAATTTTCCACCAGGGAAATAGTGAATTATCAAAATAATACACGCGTTTGTTGTGCAAATAACACTTGTTCAATACAAAATGGAAACATAGTGTACGTTTTACCCCCCAAAAGGAATTTTTCGCTTGTCCAGTCTTTCTGGTAACCACAGTGCATTTCAAGTAAAACAGTGAAGTAAAAAAAAAACAACTTTTATTCTTTTCATTTTGTTGACACAAACCTTTTATAATTGTTATTCCATCTTTTAACATCAACATATTTTAAGTAGTCATTTAAGAATTATGCACTGCAAATTATGTCCCACAACATATGTGCAGACCTATTACCAATACCTGTTTAACCTGGAAAAGGACGGGACAATGAGTGACATGGCAATGATGATGTTTCATGATTGAGTCTTGTGCTAGCACCAGCGTTGGATATTTACTTATACATATTTTGTTTTTTTCCTCCAAGATTCTGACCTTGTTACCTATATTATTAAAATCTGAGTGGTGTTTCTAATATGTTGGCCATCACGTGTATAAGAATAAAACCGAAATAGAAGAACCTCTAATTAAATTTAGTATTCTAAGTATGCCCCATTTTTAACTGTGCATGAATTCAAATGTCACTCAAATGTTCTGGCTTACGAAGGTTAAGCCTAAACTAGTAAATAAATTGATAATATATGCTTGTTTCTATAGAGTAAGATCCTTTTCTGTCTTTTTCTCAAACAATAACATTTTCTTGTCTTTCTCCAGTTACAAGGAATGGAAGAGGAGCTGCGCGTTGCCCCTCCGTCCTATCGAAATTCAATGAGCACAAAACTGCGTATGTACCGGCGAGACCTCGGCAAGCTTCAGAGGGACATGAAAAACTCAGCACCTGGCTTTGGCTCCTCGTACAACACAGTGCCAGGAAATCATGGCATCTACTCTTCACAAAATCAGCACAGTGTGAGTTAGGGGCTTTGGGGTGCTTGGGTTTGCTGTTGCAGACGTGTGACAGGCCCCGTCACGCGTCTGTTTCGATGCACAAAACATTATTTTATGTTGCTGCTGTTATGTCAAACTGCATTTCTGGGGTAAGATTTTTTCTGGGTGTGTGTTTTTTTTTCTTTCTCTTTTTGCTGAAGAATATCAGTGCGCTGTAACATAAGAAAAAATGCAAATAGGAGACACACAAATTAAGAAAACATCTTCATCAATTTGAAACCAAATCCTCTGATCTTATTAAGGCTTATTTTTCAGCAGCACTTACAGATCCAGACTGTATTAGACTGAGAAAAATGTCAACCCTGTTTCCTAGTGATCGTTGTGGATGTCTATGTAACTGTATTTCCAGAATAAATCTGCTTAAACTTGGTTTCATTTGTCCCTTTTCCCCATGTTTGCAGACACACCTGCAGTCCCAGAGAGCATTGCTTCTTCAAGGTACGGATGCTCTAAATAACGCCAGCCAGAGTATTGAGCGCAGCCAGCGCATCGCTGCTGAGACGGAGCAAATTGGCACAGATATCATCGAGGAGTTGGGAGAACAAAGGGAACAGCTGGATCGAAGCAGAAACAGAGTGAGCTGAGAATCATTATTACGCTTGTATTCTTGTACTGTGCTGTGCAAAAGTCTTTAGCCACCTGTGATGTCTATTTGTCACTGACCTATGAATCGTTTAAGCTTAAAAAGGCACCTAAATCAGAAATCAGAAAGGCTTTTATTGCCAAATGTTGAGCGGGTTTACAACATTAGGAAATTGCTGCGGTCAAATCAAATGATGAACCAGTGTTGATGTGTCTACACGTGACAACTTATCACAAAAACACATTATTAGTTTCTAATTTTTTTAGTTAAATATGGAAAAATGCCAAATATAACACAGTTCAACAGGCATAAAATAATATTTTTGCACTAAAAATGTGATTTCCAAAGAGCTACTAGCTGTCAGCTTGACATATCTCACTATCCTGTGCAGTCCTTAAAAAGTTTAATGTAACTAAAACTTTAAATATTAACTTCCAAGCTCATTAGCATTTTAAAAACTCTGTTTTTACCTTATGTGCTGTATTTTCATGCATGTTTGCACGTTTTAATAAATCGATGCATATATTTCTTTCCTTCCTACAAAACTATAAAGAAACGAATAGTGGCTCAAGACTTTGGCACAGGACTGTATGATGACCTGAGATTAGTAGGTTTGTTAAAACTCTTCTGTTTTGTTGTTTTTGTAGCTTGCGAATACTGGAGAGAACCTGAGTCGTAGTAGAAAAATTCTTCGTGCCATGTCAAGGCGGTAAGTGCACCCTACAAAGACGTCTTACACCACAGTAGTTCCTTATTTTTTTGTGTGCGTCTCATGATCCTGATGATTGGGGTCTCTTTTAAATGTTCTTGGAACATTTGAGCACATTGAGTGTAAGCATCTTATTGTTGCTTCTTTTCTGTCTTACAGGCTGGTGACAAACAAGTTGCTACTGGGCATCATCATTTTAATGGAACTGGCCATTCTGGGTGCTGTGATTTACCTGAAGTTTTTCCGAAAATGAGCAGACTTACGTTTAAGTTGTGGATCCAGGGCAAACTCAGACTTTGTCTCTACTGACTATCCAGTAGCAATAATAACACTGTCCTGCTGTTTTCAGCTATCTGTGTCTGTGATGGCAATGAAGGCCTGAACTCTGACAGGACATTCTGTCCATTATTTGATGTGAATGGCAATTTGCCAACTTGCTAATGGACCAAACCTACAGAAGCTCTTTGAACTTAGATTTGCACTGTCACTTGATGCCATTGATGTCCTGCAGGATGAGGATCTGGACTTGTCTGCTGGCTGTTACAGATCCCATGGATGATTCTTTGTAGCATCTTAGCTGAGTCAGAAAACAAGCTAATTGAGCCCACATGTCTCTCTGGGTGAAAGCACTTGTGAAATGTGACTGAAAGTTCTAGAAAGCTATAAGTCTCAGATTGGGTTACAAAACTGCTCAAATTCAACTGCTGATGTATGAATATCTTTTACAATATGATGAAAAAGCACCTAACAAAATACTTTCTTTTCTGTGTTTAAGTGGTTGTGTGCTTAAAAAAAGACTTAAGTTTTAAATGAGATATATCAGTGAAATAAATTAATGCAATGTCTTAATACAGTTCATGCAAAATTACTGTACGATTCAAAAATCACTGTTATAAATAGGTTTTTGGTTTCCGATTTGATGTCTTTCGCAACATTAAAGTTGATCTTTAACCTCAGTTTGCATCTGATATTTTTAAGGAAGGAAGCCAAACAGTTAAGAAAAATACTCTGAGGAAGCCCTGATCAGGTAATAAAGGGTAAACAGCACCTGTTACCATAGAGTTGATTCTCAAATAACTGACCATATGGTGATTTCCAGTGGTGTTAAGGGAAACGGTACACCTGCTGCAATGTTTTTCTATTCCATCATGCCCACCTGGTGTGTTCTAGAGTATACAAACAAGTTTGGTGACCTGGTTATGTATGACAGGGACATTGTAGAAAGAAGGAAATATAATTTTAATATGTTAAAATATTACCTTCGAATTTCTTCTAGGGTTTTATAACCTAATTTAAAATAAATCTCTTTCAACAAAAAGCCAGGATGCTGTATAAAATACAAATGCAAACAGAATGCAGTGATTTAGTTAAAAAATAATACTCAGATAACTTTTCCATTTTTTTCCGTGCTCACATGTGTCCAACAACGAAATATGGCAAATATTTTCAGTGTGACATGTTTGGATTGCAGGCAAATATTTTCAGTGTGACATGTTTGGATTGCAGGCAAATATTTTCAGTGTGACATGTTTGGATTGCAGGCTGGCTGGTTTAGCACTTTCGAGTAGGTACGGATACATATGCTACTGTCATACATACAGGGTGTGTTTGGGTATGGTCTTTCTGAAATACGAAAGATCTTACCCGAAAAATACTATGTTCCTGTGCTATTTTTTTTTTAAAGAATTAATATGACTAATATCTTTGGTAAATCCCCAGCTTGGTGGGGAAATGTAATGATTTCTATTTAATCATTCTATTTCACAGTGGGGCGTGTTGACTACTCTTCCAGTCCAATGTACACCATAGAAGAGTAACCATGAGGTTCAGGTTTAGGTTGATTAACGTGAAATGTGGTAGGCATTCATGTTCATCCTCAAGGTGATTCTTTGGTTCTTCATTTATTGCATTCATCAATTAAAGCAATATATTACTTTGATCACAAAATAATGAGGAGATAAGACACACATAGAAACAAACAAAAAATTTTAATCATATTAAAGGAAGACCAAAATAGAAGCTCTTTGTTACAAGGACAATAGTCATTCAGTAGCCAAATTAAACAAAACATAGATAACAAGCCATACTTTAGTTCACGCATAATGATTCAAATAGTTATTACTTTTTCCAGGGATGCTGAAATAGTGGTGCACAAATCACTATAGTCCATGTATTGATTCACAGTAAAAATACAAAAGTAAACTCTAAAGAAAATACAGTAACTACAACTATCACAGAAGTGATAGCATACTTCTAGTTTAAACTAACTGGCACAGCCACAAAACAGTCTAAAGTAGACTGTGAACTTCAATCGTCCATACTCAATACTTTTTGTACCGCTGATGCACGCTAATTCTCTCATAAACCAAACATGATAGATACTTGGCAGCTGTGGCAACGCACACCTAAGATTAACCACCCACCCATCATTTCTTAGCCACTTATTGGAGGTTTGCAGTGTGCTATCAGAGATAGCCAGACAAGTTATTACACATAATAATAATAATAATAATAATAATAATAATAATAATAATAATAATAAAATAAGTTAGTATTGCTGTATCCCCAATAGCTGTATTGGTGTCTAAATTCTGTCAAAGACGTTTCTCAGCATTATCAATATGAAGAAAGATTATGCAAAGCCCTTTCGTAGTTTCATGAATCCCGACATAATTTAGCTTTCAAAGTGAAAGACCAAGCAGCAGAAGAAAAAAACAAAGCTTTAAACTGTCACCTTTCAAATAGATATAGTCTTTGCAGTATTGTATTTAAATCTGTGGAATGGTCAGGGATGACAGTGTTGAAGTCCATAGCTTTGCTTCATGCCCTTAGAGGCGAAGCTCTGTGTCGTTTTTCCCAGGGGGAATTTCGTCCATGGATGTGTGAGCGCCTTCTCTCGTCTGTCCCAGTGATGATGCAATGACATCAACTGCTAACGTGGCAGTAGCCTCCACAGCTTCAGGACTTGCCCCAAGGTCAGGATTTACTTCTACCATGTCCATGACTGACAGCAGACCTGCACACCAAGATGATGACAAGTTAGATTCGAAAGCCAGACAGTCAAAGACCTTTAAGAAATCTAGAAAAGACCAAAGGAAATGAAAGCCATAACTGTAGTGATCTGTACCTGTGTTATGAATTTCCTCTGCGATGTAGATTCCCTCTCTGTAGGTCAGACCTCCATTTACCGGTGTTCCTGTGGCGGGAGCCAGAGACGGGTCGAATGCATCGATGTCAAAGCTCAAGTGTATTGGTCGTTGTTTTCTGTCAGGATGGTAATAAAATTCAACATCTCAGTTCAAACATCTATAACTGTTTTTTGTATAAATTAAAAATTGAAAAATTAAGAACATTTTTAGTGTTATCATTTTAAAATCTATAATAATCACAATCTATTAATAATAATACCTTGCCAGAAGATGGTCGAAAGTGACTTCCATGACCCTTTGGATGCCTAGTCTGTCGATATCTCTCATGGTGAAATACTGGATACCGAAGCTCTTGAGGAATTGGCTGCAATGCACAATTTTAAAACACATCAAGACCTATGTTTCAGAGTGCACCCCAGTTTCGTTTACTAAAACGTTTTAAATGTAAGTACTTACTACTCCCCAGGGTCAACATCCCGCAGTCCAATGTACACCAGGTCTCTTGAGCTGAGAAATGGCTTAGTCCAGGAGAACCCAGGGATATCTGGCATCTGGTGAGTGAAAAGAGGTTGTTTAATATGTCATACAGGATACTAAAAAAGCAATAATACTTTTTTAAATTAACAGAATCCCTTTTGTAAGTAGTGTTTTAATATATCTTTAGTGAAGCTGAATGTTTTTCCTCACCTTGTCTTGCAGCTCTTTGAGCATGAATGCCACAGGTTGGCCATGGAGGTTTCCTGAAGGGGAGGTCATAGGGGTATTGATATCTGCATGAGCATCAACCCAGATAAGGCACAGGTCAGGACTATGCTGGGCATGGCCGCTCACTGATCCAACAGCAAGGCTATAACAGAAGTAGAGCAGCTTTAAAGATATCTGTGCAATGGATTCATAATATTAATACAAACACTGGACTTGTTGTACAGAGTAGGCTATCTTGTAGTATTGCCAATATTTTCTGTTCCTACCTGTGATCACCTCCCAGCATAAGAAGAGTGTGGCCAGCACTGACAGCATTCCTCACTGCTGCAGACAGCTTTTTATTTGCTGCACCCACAGTCCGCGGGAACTTTACATCCATGTAGGGCTCATCCTCCTCCAGGTGTTGGAAGTTCAAATCCCCAAAGTCATGGACAGAAAAGTCTAAAAACACAACAACAAACATCCATACATTTAAACTACTTTGTGCTGTGTCACATTTGCTGCAGTTTAAAATGACTCATTGAACGGGAGTGCACTATTTTCTCAGGAAATCTGAACAAAGGAACTGGTAACCTGACGGCTTCAAACAGCCTGAGGATTTGTAATTAGCAGACGTGGTATGTGCAGGTGTCAGTTAGGCAGCCTACATAATCCGTAGCTCCCGTGACTTAACACGCGTTTGTCTGACCTTGCACTCTCATGGGTTTGAGTCATTCAATGCCAGTGGAACTAGTGACGGAGCACTTTCCATTAGTCTTGTTTCCCACATCGGGTCAGGTTTCAGTGACTGTAGTTTGCCTTATACTACGTGGTTGCAGAAGATTTAAAAGTTTAGATATAGACAGCGAAGTAAACAAGTGAAGTGTTTCACCATATTAGGGTTCATCCAGCTATATGAGCCTTGATGGTAGTGTAGTATTACTCTGCTGATCCAAGGGTGACCAATGCGGTTCATGACCATTCGTAGACAGGACAGGAATAGCCCTTGTTTGATGCAACAGTGAGCATCTCTTGCAAGACAATTCATAAGTTTGTCAAAGGGATGAGCTTTTAAATTTTAAATGCAAGATTACAAGCGCTATTATTCATATGTAAAGGCATGTTAAATATTTGTAAATGCCAGTGATTATTGGTTTGATTATATCTATATATTTTTAATTGAAACAATTTGTACAAATTGACAGGAAACCTAGAGAGTGTGAAGATGTAAGAGTACATGGCAGCTACTTCTCTTAGTGTTTGGTTTCATGTGTCCTCCTCTGTTAGTGACATAGCAGCTAGATCTTATTTCATTGCTGCCAATTTGGCCACCAGGGAATTGATTCCTGGCCAACATTTTACATTAGATTACATATATTCAGGTTTTATTTTACTTTTTATAAACCACCTTGTGATAAACATCAAGGTTGTTACTATAAAACTTACAAAAGTATCTTTGAGATTCAGCAACGTAAGAACAAACTGATAAGTGTGTGTATATATATACACTCATTTGATACAGTTCAAGGTATTTTGGACAATATAGTCATATGTAATTGTGCAGATCCACTTAGTGGCCATACAGAAACTGAAAGTAAGCCAGTGACGCACTGTATAATTTATGTGTAACACAAAGGGAGCGCTCTTCCCTTTGCACAACATGTTTACGCCTCATGAGCTGATGTGTGGAACAGAACAAACTGGATTACCTGGGTAGTTAGGTAAGGGAAGTTAGGAAGTTACAACCTAAAGGCCTGCATTAAGCTGCCATTGTCACACACCTTCATTGGTTTTTCTGTTATATTTATAGAGGCAGGAGCAGTTTGCGGTGCAAATGGGGATTCTGGTGAGCTAGGAAGTATCACGACAGCAGATTTCCATTTCATGTTACTTTTTGGGCAAAATTTCAAGACATTACTTTGGACATTTTGAGTATATTTATTAAGCATAAAACAGATTAATTTGAACTACCTTTACTACAATAATTAATGGAGGCCATCATGATTTACATTGTGT